AGAGCGTTGGACCACTGCTGACCCAACAGAACTCATAAAAATGAGAGAAAAACTCAGAAATAAAGACTCTGAAAATTCTGATTTGTGTGAGAACAAATGGATGGATAGATTCATTCCCACCACCATGTTCCTTCTTTCAAGTGTAAGGATTATTGAATCTTGCCTAGAAATGATATGCTGGCCTAAGGATAATTAATATTTAAGGTCTTTAAAGTAATTAATAACAAAGGTCTTTTGTGAAATAAGGACAGCCTTGACTTAGAAATAGATGTTTTACTTAACTGGTGCCAGTTGACTTAACTGACTTAACTGGAGAAATTGCACAAAACCAAAGAGTTGATCATGAATAAAATTAGTTCTTTCCGTTGCTCATCTCTCCTCATCCTGAACCATACAGCAATTACAAATTTGGCAGGATAAGGAGGTAAAATATATAACCTTAGGAGACAATCACTCTTCTCGTATCTTCATAATGTAAGAATTTATCTGCTGTTTATAACCAATGACCTCTAAAGTTTTTAAGTCTGCTTTGGAAATGTTCCCTTAAAAGACAAGCTGTTCATAATACTAGTCCAAGGGGAGGCAGGTGACATTTTATTCCTGGGTTTTATCTCGGTGAGTGAAAAACTTAACTGTTTGTATCTGTTCTTCCTGGACGGAGACCTTGTAAGGCATCGTGCAGTGCTGTCATAGGTGCCCCAGCTGGCCTTTGAATGAATGTATTGCTGCTAAACTTGGTTGAAAGCTGAGTGGAACAGGCGGCTGCATGCTGTGGCAGATTGTGGGGGACAGGTGGCAAACTGTCTGATACAGCCTGAAGAGTTGGCGAGTCTGAATGACTCACCTCCATCTTCTGCCTGACCTCTCAAACAAAGGGGTCATTTCACACATAGCTCTGAATGGACATCACGTAGCACCAATTTAAAGAACAAGTTTTCAGAATTTCCGTTTGAGTTTTTAATATTCATAAATGGTGGCATATTTAGAAATAACGAATCACACAAAACATTTAAGCATTTTACAGGGTCAGCATTTGCGAGGACTGTTTTTCACTCACAGTGCTGCTACCTGTGCTGTCCCATGCTGTCTTTATACCTCCTCCACACGGACATTTCTTTGCATCAGAGATGCTTCCCATAGTGACATTGTGCATCCCACAGATGCACTCACCTTGTGTAAGGACACACTAGCCCATAGCTCTTTAACAATATAAATCACTGATTTGAGAGTAAATAGAAGTAAGCGACGGGAGGTCACAAGTGTTGGTCCAGATGCTGGCCCAGTTTCCTGAGCAACCTAATCTGAAGAACCATTTTGAAAACAGGAATCCCCTTCTTTTACCAGGACTAACTAAAGAAAACCTTATACATCCACTTTGTTCGCTTGTGGTGGGGCGTGGTCTGGGAGTTCTTCTGCACGTTGAATGCTTTGTACCTTTCTGGAGGAGTTTAACATGATTCAGGTTCCCTCTTAGCTGACTGCTGGTGGTTATAGGTAATGTGCAGAGAATGCAGGGGCTGGGGAGGGGAGGTGAGGGCTGGCTGGGCGGGATCTCTTTGCACTCTTCAGGGTGCTGGATCCAGCGCACACCATTGAACGTCCTCTGGAAGGGAACACATCAAAGTACGCTTTCAATATACAAGGTGTTGCGCTTTGTCCCTCTTGTCATTCCTATAGGCTCGGGACAGCCACAGGAATTGCGACTGTGGGCAATACCACTGGGTATATACAGTGCTTTTATTATTTCCAGCCCGAAAACTGCATTCTTCAAATGAAGGCATTCTTTTTGTCAACGGATATTTTACATTGATATCCTTCTCACCCTTCCATTTGGGTTAGATCTTCACCATGTTGCGCAGTGCTTTTTTAGGGAACGTTTCACAGCAGTATTGTACGTGCCACTGCAACCAGCACTTCTTCGCTTTTGATTGCACAGAATGGCAGATTTTGCCTGGATAGAGTGGATGGTTGAGGTGACGGAAAAAATGAATGAAACTGGGTAAGCAAAAGGAGGAATACCATATAGTTAGTTTCAGTTTTGGATTGCTATGTGTCTGTTGTAACCGGGTTTTATTTTAAAAGACCTGGCTATTTTACTCTGTCTTTACGGTCAAAGGTTGCTGAATAGCTTTTTAACCAACTAGTCAAAACCAGAATGAGAGACTTCCAAAAGAAAATTTCAGTCCATATGCTTGCGATGTTGGTGAAATGTCAAAAAATGAGAAGGATGGGTGTGGTAGCAACAGCCAAACTGATCTGCAAGTTGCTACTAGTTCCCCCTATAATGATAATGTGAATTAATTAATTAGTATTTCCACCAGAGGCATACAATTTGTTTAATTAGAGTCGGTATAACAACCATATTTTAAAGTATAAGATCTAGAGTAGATCTTAGTAAGTTCTGGTATACGAACTATACATATGTGATATGTATAATACTAAGAGACTGGCATTTTCTTCATGTCATGACTGTTACTAATTTCAGGCATTTCTTGAAGAGCTTGCGTTTTCTGTTTTGTTTTTTTTCCAGTAAAACATTTTATTTTCAGTTTGAACAGAGGGAAAAAACCAGCATAACTGAAAGAGTCATCTTAATTTCTTACAGCAATTCCATCATGGAATTTGATGGCCCAGGTGGCCAAGAAGGCCAACGGCATCCTGGCTTGTGTCAGACATAGTGTGGCCAGCAGGACCAGGGCGGGGGTCGTCCCCCTGTACTCGGCACTGGTGAGGCCGCACCTCGAGTGCTGTGTTCAGTTCTGGGCCCCTCACTACAGGAAGGACATCGGGGTGTTGGAGCGAGTCCAGAGAAGGGCAACGAAGGTGGTGAAGGGTCTGGAGCACAAGTCTGATGAGGAGCGGCTGAGGGAGCTGGGGGTGTTTGGTCTGGAGAAGAGGAGGCTGAGGAGAGACCTGATTGCTGTCTACAACGACCTGAAAGGAGGGGGTAGCCAGGTGGGGGTCGGCCTCTTCTCCCAAGTGACAAGCGATAGGATGAGAGGAAATGGCCTCAAGTTGTGCCAGGGGAGGTTTAGATTGGATATTAGGAAAAATTTCTTCACCAAAAGGGTTGTCAGGCACTGGCACAGGCTGCCCAGGGACGTGGTGGAGTCACCATCCCTGGAAGTATTTAAAGGACGTGTAGACGTGGTGCTTAGGGACATGGTTTAGTGGTGGACTTGGCAGTGTGAGGTTAACAGTTGGAGTCGATGATCTTAAGGGTCTTTTCCAGCCTGAATGCTTCTGTGATTCTAAAATAATGGAGCAGTGCCAACATGCATAAAAGACAATTTAACTTAGCATTTCAGATCTTCCTGCATGTAGTAAAATGTTAGACAAGCTGTTGGGAGTGAATGGAAGTCCAGTGTCACAATCTGCTGGGTTTTTATGTACCATCCTTCCAATATCATACTATACAAGTCACGATAATCTTAATTTATCTTCAGCATGTCCGTGTGAAGAAGAGTAATGGTATTCATGGAGCACATTACATGGATTGCAAAGTGCTCTACAGACAACTGAACTACCTAGCATATTTGCAAGACAGGTATTACCTCATTTTCAATCTGCAGCTGGAAAATGAAAAGTACAGGGAGTACTGCTACATGAACTTGGAGCTCAAGCCTATACCCCTTTCCGAGATCCCTAACTGCCCACAGTAAACTTTGGTTTACAGTCCCTTGTAAGACCATGGGCTTACCAGGGTGGGAAGCTCAAGTAGAAAGCAAGGGCTCGTGTTTTGCTCTTTACAGGCAGCCTGGGCACAATCAGTTCAAGCCACACAACATGTGGAATTTGTGCCCTGACATGAGCATTGCTAAGAAAAGATTCTATAGGTAAACCAGAATGGTACGTGGTACACCACAGTGTTTAACTTTTGGGTGTCCAGTTCTGGAATTGGAATTCACAAATCCAAAGCAATGTTCAAGAGCACTGTATGCAGAAAGCTTGGGTCTTGAGAATGGAATTAGAAATGAACAGAGGAGTGTGGGAATATTTCACAGGTCTCATCTACCCTTCAACATCTTTCCTAGCATTTGGGTTCCATATTGTTTCTTTATGTTTCTTGCATGACTGATTAATGCTTTTCTTCTAAAATACAACTCCCGGAGGAGATAGTGATGGTGATATCAATGGAAAATAGGTTTGGTCCTGTGTTTAGGGTAGTTTCCTAAGAAGTGTGTCCTTGTCAAGAAAGGGTTCAGACTTCCTATGAGAACTGGACATTTCCCTGTGCCTCCCCATCCTGGCCTTTTGGTTATTAAGTTATTGCGCTCGCTGTGGCTGGTGCTAAAGACAGGTCTGTCAGCGGGGCGTAGATGTGCTCTCTGAGCATGTGGGCTGCAGCAGGCACATCAAGATGAAACAGGAGATGAGAAGTAAGCCCAGCCATAAAAGCTGCACTTTTGTATATATGCAGTTGCAGAGCATTCTATGCATATATAGTTTTACCAGTGAAAACATCAGCAGGTAGGCATT